AGACACACTCACAACATCTGAGCCAACATCCACAAATATGATATCACTTCATTAACTACCTAGGGCTTGCAACGGTTGACTGTTATCACTGATTCAACTGGAAATTACATTGATTTGAAACTATGAACCAATCGATGTTAGATCACCGCTTAAAACTTAGAAGCAATGGACGATCGTTTCGTCCTAGTATGAAACTCCTCAGTAGTGTGTACCCATAATCCTGCACGGTGAACTCAAATCTACGACCTTCAATATTGCTCACAAATGCTTAATCTATAGATCACTGAACTAGTATTCAATGGTGTTAATGTCTAACCGTAGTCAATGCATGATATATTGTGCGATCATCTTTTATTTTAATTAATGAGTAACTGTATCTTATTCAACACGATTTAGCTCCACTGGTCACGACTTTTCACTGGGACTCCGGAAATTTCCTCTCTATGCTAGTTACTAGTTAGAGCGTGAGACCGAAGATTCAGATTTAGGTTCCCGCGTGCAGGATTGTGTATGCGCACTATTGAAGAGCTACATACCAGAATGAAACAGGCTTCCAATGCTTCTAAGTTTTCAATATCGGTTTAACATTGATCGGTTCATGATTCTGTAGTGTCAGTTATTATGGCAAGCCCATATACCTTTATTCTAACTTCCGGACATCCTATTTTATTCATTTTACTTGAGCCATATTTTGACCTTGTCAATTATTCGCTTATTAGCCTTGACTGTTTTCACATGAGCGTATATGTGTGTACACTTCATGTCCCATGATTCATCACGTCTGTATTTTATTTTGTCTGCCTATAAATACTGAGTAACACTTGGTTAAAAGGGAGTTGGCTTCCCAGCCATCTTCCATATGTGTCAAAATTGCTTTGTTATGGCTCTCGCTCGCTTAGCATGCGAACGGGCATCCTCATTGGTAAGCCCGCCGACGACGAACGCAACGCAGCAAGCTACGTCGATGAAGGCACTTCTGCACTCTATACGTTCGACGAACATATTCAGCGAAACCAGCGCAATCTCCAATCCGACGCAATCAGCACAGCCTGTGCAACATGACATGGACATGCTCAAGTCGTATTATCTTATCGATACTTTGTCCTCATGTCAATTATCCTCATTGATACATTTTTCGGATTGTCCCATTACGATTCAAATTATCATTATATGCTTATTATTACATCATTATCAATATCATGACCGAATGTGGAATTATTAATCTTGTTCGTGCTGTCATTAAATTATGACATTTTCGCAATCATATTACTCACCGAACAAATTATCATTTTATGAAAATTCCACTCCAGTTTGTGAGAACTCATTAGGATATTTTTACTATTCAAAAACGTGAAATTTTCCTGCTTTAAGTGAGTTCGTTCCAATTTTTTTCATGTCATTTTGATCTAATATTACATTCATTCACTTAGTCGAGGTCCGCAATTTATGTTATCACAACATACATTTTTCATTTCGAAATCGCCTCCTATTATGTCTGTGGATGCTTCTGACTAGCTGATTAGTAACCATTACGCTCATTTTATCTATTCTTCCACGTGCATAACTACATTCTGCATCATTTATCACTGGAAAACGCTATTCGAGTACTGCAATTTCTATTCTATACCCATCGCTCGGTATATCAGAACATAGAGTTTAGAGCTAGTCTCTCAAAGATACACTCTTGTTCGTGACATCCAAGTCAGTCTCATACGTCGCCATCACTAATCATATGTATTGGTATTTTTGTCATGCCTTGGTACGGTTTTGTAACAAACGAGATCGAGCGCATCTCCCTCAAACCACACAAACCACTCTAGGCTTCATGACCAAAAAGGAATACGACTCTATGTACCTCGTCTACTCAGTCACTATTCTGTTCCTCTGGTCATTCTTCTACTAATACATATTTAACGATGACTCAATGCATCTGTCATAACGCAGACGACAACGTTCACTGACTTCAAATTTTATGATTATTATCAATTGCAGTACAGCAACGAATATCACCCGTCGATGCAGATATCATTTCACGACTTTCCTATTATCATCCTACGCATTTAAATTCGAATTCACTCATCACTAGTCAATGCGATTTATTCTGCTGCGGCTCAACAGAACATATATTTCGCATATTTCACTATTTTGTCAGCATCATAGACCAATTTCTGTAATATTCTACTGTACTCATTTTGACGATTTATTTCGCTGTCATACCCACAAACAATTTATTATTTTCACGATAATTTGAATCACTCATACAAACGTGTTATTTTATCGTTCAGACAGTCATAGCATTAGTACATGTTAAATTTTTGTATGCTCATTAATTTGCTCATATTCGCATGCTAACGTTTCCATTTTTGTCCGCATCTTTTCTATATTCATGTATTCTTTTGCATAAGTATGACATTTTCATATAATACACTCACCCCTCATGTGACACTGTACTTTATCGAGTGTTGTACAATTTTTTTTTGCTACTTACAGTTAACGTTAACTACGCACCACTTCACTGTTATTTTCGAAAACAGCCATTTTTTAAATGTGCTATTTTCTACGAGGGGGCTATGTAGTGTCAGTTATTATGGCAAGCCCATATACCTTTATTCTAACTTCCGGACATCCTATTTTATTCATTTTACTTGAGCCATATTTTGACCTTGTCAATTATTCGCTTATTAGCCTTGACTGTTTTCACATGAGCGTATATGTGTGTACACTTCATGTCCCATGATTCATCACGTCTGTATTTTATTTTGTCTGCCTATAAATACTGAGTAACACTTGGTTAAAATGGAGTTGGCTTCCCAGCCATCTTCCAATATGTGTCAAAATTGCTTTGTTATGGCTCTCGCTCGCTTAGCATGCGAACGGGCCTTCGACAATTCCATATCCTAAATGAACTGTTTCTATTGACAATGAAAGTCAATTTAACAAAAAACTGTTATAACTTGTCAATTGAATGCTACTTGTTATATCTGGTCGTCGCTGATTGTTGTGTCGGAAACGCTTATCACTTATACTCGAAACGAGGGACCTCTGTAATTCCCTCTACGCGAAAGTAAGAACACAAGACTGGTATAAGTGAAGACTCACTAACCCCCAAAACACGACGACGACAATTCTAGTCGAAAATACACTCATTTATATATTGATTATACATCCATTTTGATTAATAATTAGAATGAAATCACATATATGAAAAATACTTCGAGTTATAACAAATCACATATTGAGCATAGTTCATGTCAATGGAATACAAGAATATCGCATACGACAAAAGAAAACAATTACTACACTGAATGATCATCACATTGAATCAGAATGGAAGTAATGTTGAACAAAACTCATAATGAGTAAATCATTTGAATTTTGACTTTTCTTCTCGTCGCAGTTGTTGGTCCTGTTTAGAGGCTGCGAAGAATCCAACAAAAGCTGAACCGCAACCATGACCAAAACCGGACGGGCCTTGACAGAGAATACACGCTTATTTCGCCGGACCAATACAAGGCAGGAATTACGTAGTTGTTGTTAATGCCTTCACAAAATGGCCAGAAGCATATGACATGCCGAAAACGTCATCAGAGAGTGCAATAAGAAAATTGTGAGGATTGTTTGCTTGTTTTGGGGTTCCAGAGATCTTAGTGACTGACAACGGCACTCAGTTCATGTCATCCGCTTTTAAACGCTTTTGCAGTGAAAATGGTATATCGCATCTACAACCTCCTCTGTACCATCTCCAGTCGAATGGCCAGGCAGAAATGTTCGTGGATACGATAAAAAAAGCTCTGGTCAATGGACGAAATGAGGGTATCCCAGGACAAGTGATCAGTAAGTTCTTAATGTCTTTTAGAGTTACCCCTAATCCGGCAGTACCAGAAGGAAAATCCGTAAAGTTTTTAACAGTATGTTGCTACTCAGAAAGATAAGTTAACCCACGAATGGGTGTCGTACGGTCACTCGTAGCTTCAAGGTGGGTGAAAGAGTATTTGTCAAATCGTATCAAGGTAATAGGAAGTGGGAACCAGATGTCATAGAGCGTCGAATCGGAAATGTACTGTAGTTCGGAAAAATGTCAGAACGTGTATAAGACACATAAATTAAATTCATAGGGACGGCAGAACACTGGTTCCACAAAGCCGACTCCCGTTTCAATTGCTCATGGATTCATCTCAGAAAAGCCTTCAGAAGCGCGAATATAGAAGAGATAAACGACGCAAGGGCAAAGCTGTACAACCTTAGAGAGTGATGGACCGCAAGAAGAATACGGTAACCAAGTTTCAGGTGGATCCGGAGGTAAAGTCTTACACAACAGACTTCAAAGGGTAGAGATGTGAGAACGGTCCATGGGTGAACTCGAGGAAGCTGAAGGAAGCTCAAAAAGAGCCGAAGATATTCTATCCACTCATCTTTTGGGAGAATGTTCTAGAATCTCTACGCATAGCTTCCCGATTTTACAGTGCTGATGTCACCTGTGTGAGAACTGGACAGCTATAATGATGATTTCATTTTTACTAAAAACTATAAATACCTAACAGTTTTGTACCATAATTTGACACTGTCTGGAATAACATTCCTTTCACTAGTCTTCTGTCTTCTCATTGCTACTTGGATGGGTTCTAGAGTTCTAGTGCTCAAGTTATACACAGCATATCAAGAATATAAGTCCTAGATATAACAAGAACCTTTAATCAGGTGAATGATACAACACTGAAATTATTGTCATGAGCTATATCACTACATTATTTCTTATCTGAAAATAGTAGTATATATCGGAATTAAGAATAAATTAGACTCAATATTAAAAACCACTATAATATCTAGAAAACATTTATGTATACAACAAAATATTCCGTTTCAATGTTAAGCATACTTAGTCAACAAGCATAGAAAATATTTCAGTCATTTATATTTTAAGAAAAAAAAGCACATTAATCATTGAACCATTCAGCTGATATACATGAAAGTTCACTACTTCACATAGATACTGTAATCATTTATGATAGAATATGAGTACGTCTAATCATTCCTTGTTTAGAACAGACTGATGTCCAATGTGAAAGTCCATCACCGCATGCTAAATCTGATGGTCCAGTTACACAACGACCAATAAGTGTAGTAGCTTCTTGTAGTTTACTTCCAGATCGTGCGAATACACTCAATATTATACATACACGACTAATATCTTCTTCAATGATAAAATTTAATTTCTCTCCCAATATAAACTCTGCTGAATTCACTGTAAGTCGAGCAGTTGTTCTAGACTGAACAGTTCGAAATAATTTCCAATTCGAACACAATGAAGCACGAACAAATAAATTCTCTAAGGAAAGAAAGATGAGAAAAACATGAATGCAAACAAAATAATCATGATATTACAATATAATTAGGTACTGGTACAACTGAACTCAAGACGTTCAGGACTCAATGTGACACCTTAACCTTTATACCAGTAAGTATTGGGTCGTTTACATTTCATACAATATTGCGAAACTGAATAATGTTAGAAACGTAAACCAATTTATGGCAGCTCAATAGTTCAAAGGCTAGACTTTTAGTGTAAGGCCTGAAGGTCACGGGTTTGATCCCTGGTCGGCTTGTGGGTGCGGATTACTAAGAAGTACCATTCTAGTGTGAAACAGCTTTCCAGTGATTTCTGGTTCTCAACGGTTGTTTAGTTAAAACCAGTCTATGATATAAGACTTCAAGTTCGACTGCATTTAGTGGTCTATTTTAATAATAATAATATTATAATGCTCCGACCACTTAAAAAAGCCATGTCTGTCTAAACTGAAACTACCGAAAACGCCGCTTAACGGCATAAACCAACCGACTCAATTGAACTGATTTCGTTAACCTAATCTTCTTTACGTGTTTTTAATTGATAAATTAGAATTGTCCCGAAATTCTGGCATGAACTACACAATTTCAGGACAATATCACAATGTTGATGATACAAGCTTCATAAGAACTACAACTGTAAATAAACAAATTAACTAAAACAGTCATTTCAATCTATCGGTATTTGCAACAACCACATACCTATTGAACAAATAAACTCAGCCCCCCAAATGCCCTGGTATGGCCGAGAGTGGGGTGGGTTCGCCCTCCCCATCGAAATACTCTCGCACGGCCACGCGTATACAGCCACTGCCAGGGAAGTCCTACTCACTGCCTTCTCGTGGCGAGGGTGTTGTTTACGAAAATGAGAGGACGAAAAGCGAATGTCCGGCGTTTTAACCGGATTCCAAACCAATGGTGCACATGGGCTCCAGTATCCTGCGGGAACAAATGGCGTATGAACCAGTTGTTGGTCACCGGCTTCCATGGGACTGCATCTCCTTACGATGCTCCATTACCTTGTGGATCAGGCCTTCAGGTCGAAGACTCGGGGAGTGGCCCTCTAAGAAAACCACCTGCTTCGGTTTGGGCACCCGGACAGTATCACAGCCCACACACAAATGATGAACTGTCTGTATTTGTGGAAACTACTTTTCTTGCTTCGATTAACAATCAAATGATTCAATTTATTATTATTATTATTATTATTATTATTATTATTATTATTATTATTATTATTATTATTATTATTATTATTTACTACGTCATTATTTACCCTCTTTTATTCCTACTCTGTCTATACTTATTTTTTCGACTTGTACAACAGCTCGTTTATGGTGGAAATTTGATTCGATCTAAACGTTACTTACGTTTCACTTCATATTAATAATAAAATGTTTATTATATGGCGTTTATACAGTGGAAAAAAAATGAGTCCAAAATTCAGTCTTAATTCATCGGAGAGTAAGTGACCTACAAAAACGGATTTCCTCTAATCACCACGTATATTTATAAACAAGATTGTTCTTTAATGAGATCATAAAACATATTCTTCTGTATTTTGATCTTATCTATGAAATCAGTTCATTTGATGAGTTTTTTAAGTTAATAATCCGATCTGAAAACCATTCATCATTCAGTCATAGAGTATTATTCCGATCATTTATCGACTAACATTTTATGCATTCATTTAAACGTCTGAGAATAATATAGTAAATAGTTAATTTGCAATATATCAATCCACTGTCTCAAACTTGACTGTTCCTTTTGCAAATATCAGTTCATCGTCTCAGATTTCATTGTTCTTGCATTCTCATGCCAAATGCTTCCCGTTCCCATTCTTTCTTTCTCGATTATCTACTGAAATACATTCTGTTCCTGATTATTGTTATATACTACTTATGTAAATTTAAGTATCTCACACCACAGTACGACCATTGCGTACACTCTGTTAAGATGTTAGATGGTTAAAGGTAGCTGGTAGGAAACCTTTGATTTAAATTTCATGCCAGTAGGTAGTCGTTATAAAGTTGTAACCGTAGACACTAAGAATTTTCAATATCACAATCTGAAATGTTACCAGTGAGCTATCCAGTTCATCATTGACTTCTAATATGGCCTATGAGTCAGTCAGTCAGTCAGCTACAACGTAGGACCAGGCACATTTATGCATCGGTCGAAGTTGCCATACCTCATTAACACAACAAGATAGACACCGGATTCACAAAAGTAGTTAATTCAGAGGTGGTAATATATAAAATAAAGATTACAATAAAGAGATAGTATAGGAAGAAAGAATTAGTTCGTATAAAGAAATTTATGAAGCGATTTTAATCTCTTAGTTTAAGGGAAGACAGAGAGTATATACACCGACGCCATTGTGATCGATTCTGAGTCATGTCACCAAGAGTCTCCAACCATTGGTTACGATAGTCATGCAGACCCCAACCAAGTAGTCTGCATCTCCCAACATGGCTCAGACTAGAAGTTAGTAACTTCAAGCACTGATGCCACGTTTTAGTTTGGCCAACACAAAACCTAGATCTAGCGCTTCTTTCCAACTACCTCTTAGTGAGTGAAATACAAACTACTACATCCGGTCAATAAATAAATGCCATTAAACTATGAAATTTTATTATATATAAACGCGAGACAATAAAAGAAAACTGTTAAGTGTATACTTGAACTAATTGAATATTTACACAAAATTTTCATATCATGTATCATTATTTCATTCCTTCAGTGGGAATTTCATTGGTGTACAGTTAATTTAGCCCAGGACAGAGTGGGTTGGAGAATGCTGGTCGGTGGCCTATGTTCCATTGGGAGCAACAGGCGTAAGTAAGTAAATACAGTTGATTTAAAAAAAGAAAACTTCTTACTTGTTCGTTTAGGCAAATTCATTGCAGCACAATTAAATAGGCTAATAGTTAGACTACCATTCTCTTGATTATACTGCATACCAAAAGTAATTTCTCCTCGTGAATTGGCATTCTATTAATTATAAAAAAATATAAAAAAATATCTTCAATCGAATCGATAAATGTAATGAGATATGATGTAATCACTCCCGTGAAATCATGATCTTGATCTTGTCAATATTTATCGTTTTCAGTTGTTATAACTTGTCATCTTGTGCCCTATTACTATATAACATAATCATACCGTCAATTAATAAAAAACAGTGAATTATCGACCGGACCAATGACGCATAAACGCATATGAGCAGTCTCCAGTCCTTATCGGTCCTTCTTCCTGCCTAGCCCTAACTGTTGAGTTCAGGACACAAATCTCAGTCTCCACGATATGAATCATCTATTTCAAACATACCTGGTTTATGTACAAACCAAACAGACCACATCATACCAAAAAAATATAAAATAACATTTGTGTAAGATCTAGCCAAATGTAGCTGTGAATGTAAGAGACTGTAAATCGTATAATAATAGTTCGTAGGTCAAAATAAAGCTTATAATAAGCGAAACATGAATATGCATAGTTTAGCTACTTAACAATTATACAATAAAAATATATGTATAGTATTAGTCGATAAATAAATCCCAGTAGTTACCATTCATTATTCTCATCGGGATATATCACAATGCACATACTTCATTGGATTATGCCCTTTTAGTTACTATGATCCCTGCATTATATATATATATATATATATATATATATATATATATATATATATATATATATATATATATATATATATATATATATTTGACTTGATAAAACTAAAACTAATATCCGTTTTGTATTGCATTACAAGTTAATCTTGAATTAGGAATTATTAAACTTGTGTTTACAAATTATTCAAGATTAGGTTCAGATTGAACTCCGCCTGGAGTCCCTCCGGGGGCTACAGCCGGTCCCAAGCCTGGATAAAGTAGGAGGGTTGGACATGGGGTTAGCGTCCCCATCCTGTAAAAAACTAACTCGCTAAAAAAACGCTAAGTAAGTAAGTAAGTAAGATTCAGATTGAATTAGATCAGTCCGATGAAATGATGCACGACATAACGAGTGTAGACTTCGATGACAATCAGTATACAGTCCAATTGGAGTTTTACTAAAAAAAAACATGATAAAAATTGTAATATTACAAATCCGTTCTTACTTCATCTGGAACTTTCAAACACCTAATAAACCATAATAATTTATTCGGTAATAGTTCTAATGATTTCTCTTTTGTTTTAATATCTTCAAAGGTTGACACATTCACAACTGTAGAACGACGTAATTTATTCACATCATCCATTAGATATTGCCACATTTTAGATGTTATAGGAATATGTACACTGCCAATTAATTGTGAAGATTTCCAATATGGTAAATATTGAACAGTAGAAGTACCATGTAGATCATTTGTTTTACATGCATTACGTTCTTTCAAATCTATTTTAAGCTCATAATTTTGTATTGTATCATCTTCTAAGCCTATTGATGAGATTGATTCCATGGATTGAAAAAGTGATGTGGATCGATTATTTATTACTTCAATTATATTCAATGGTAAAGGTAAGATAATTTTATGCCGAAAAATTGGTGAACGATAAGCACGTCTCACTGGTGTACAACCACTATGCACTGTAGAAGACATTCTATTCGTTGTAAATATATCCATTTTATCAGAAAAAATTCTCAATGACTTTGTAGATATTTGACTTAAGGATAACATTGACACAGAATTGTTTAGGCCTGAAAAATACATTAAGTAAGCATTAATTCCATGAGCAATTTTGTATTGAATATTTTGTAGCAAATACTGTATGTTCATGACTATGTCATTCGGTAGCAAATTTAGATGGTGGTTGGAGGTAGTCGACAGGAAACCTTGGACCCGGGTTTCGTGCTACTTGGCACTCGTCAACAAGGTGTACCTGTAATCTTGAGGGAACTGGTGCCCCCTGGTGGACTCGATCTCGTGTCACCCAGCTTCACAGTCAGAGACGTTACCACTGAGCTATCCTAGCCGCGACCAACCTCCTGTAGGGCTGAGATGTAATCACAACTGATTGATCACTGGGTGGCGACCAATTTCATGCGTGTCTAGTCCTTAGCAAATTTAACATAAAAAATAAATAGACTGGTATCTATTTAGTTTCTAAGGGTCATAGTTCAGTATAGGTCAACCTTTTATCATGTTTATGCTTCAGCCCTTGGGATTAAATACATTCAACAGTGTGTATGACATGCATAGACTGATTACTAATTGAGAGTATGTTTCAGATTATTTTAAGTTCCGTCACAAACAAGCTCGTCTATGGTTGTCGTAGTGTAGTATTATCTATCCTGATTATTTAGTTTCATTGGGAGACTTTTATTGTCATTGTAGAAAAACATTCTATATGGCCTCACCTCATATAAACCGCTTTTTATATAGTAAACTTTCATAACCTCTCTAGACTTATTAAGTGTTCATCAAGAAAAAAAAGGACATAAATCACTTACCAGCTAATTGAAGACGTGCTTTCACATAAAATTTCCCTGCTTTTGGTTCTACGTTCCTACTCAGAATACAACGTGCATCAAATATATATACAGATAGAAATGGATGTTTTTTAATGTTGGACAGATCACCTTCAATTCGTACAGCTAACGTAATATAACCTCTTTCTGGTATACCACGTTCAGTTGTCCAGTTTGGATGTATTATCGGTATGAATGATAAATGATTAGTTGAGTTTTCTAATGATTCCAATGTATCATTTACGGTTGAATCTTCGATACTATCAGTCAATGTGAAATCCACAATGTCGTTCTCATTTTCATTGTTCACTTTGAACAATTCATGATCATCAATTGATGTACCATTGTTATCATTATTATCTTCTACTTCTTCACAACCCAATAAATGATTTATATCGACATTATTCGATTGATTATCGACGAGTCTCTGCATTCAGTAAGTAAACACAGTAAACGACAATGTTATATATTAAGTTCAGCAAAACTTAACCCCAAATCTTTAGATAATATCGATCAAAAGGTTGATACAGTTTAGAGTTACCTGTGACGTAACCTTCTGAAATTCTTGTTACTGTGTGTCTATAATATTAGAATCTGCCACACAGAAATTGCACAACTTTTTAAATTATTACCTCCTTCTGTTAACGTATAATCAAAATAATATAAATAGAGTAATCCTAGATTCGACTCCCGGTCGTAAAGTCATAGATAAGCACTGCTGGGGTGTCTTTCACTAGAAAAAAACGACCATCCAATGCTTCTACATTCCCATTGGTTGTTTAACTTAAATCAGTTCAACATCTCAATAAAAATACGACAATCTTCATAACCCTAAACGGAAAACAATAATCTAGTCATAAAATTCTTCTACGATATCATTCTCAAAGTTAAAATATTTAGTTGACTTAATGGAACAACCTAAACTAAAATTATTTGATTAATGAAATAGCATTTATGTATATCATCATCACTTCAATGAGTGAATCTTGATGACTATGAGTTCTAGTTCTGTTTCAAGTCACTATTCAGAATAAAAAAAGCTTTTGATTAATCCAATTGTCTAAATTAAATGAATCTTCATAGTGTTACATTCATTATAACTTTTGTTCAATACGAAAAAAAAACTATAGAATGTCCGGCAACAGAAGGTTGAGAAGATTGAGGAGAAAAGAATCGAAACAGAAAGCAATTGATATGGAAATGCAGGAACAATGAAATTTAAGACAGTTAATGAATATATTTCAGATGAAGTATTGGAGTATGATTTTTCTATTTTACCAAGTAACTCTGTCATTCTATGCTAAATATGATCGGTGATCCTCACCTGGGTTCACCTTTACTACACTGTATATCACTTATATTCAAGTGAGGAATATCGTCAATTACTAAAACTCTTCTTCATTTTTCTTCATGCAATATATCTAACAGATATTGAGATATTAGCTTATCAGTGATTACACAATCATATAACACACCTGTAAGATGTAAAAGTATATTGTGTTACTTCAACGATTTACTACTTAAACCATTTCAGTTGGTATAATCTACAGAATCTATTGAAGATGAAAGTATCTTATTTCATATTATTAAAAAGGGGCTTTTGTGGATATTGTAGTAAATTTTCATAATTAAATTCATGAGTCGATTAAAGTTATACCACCATGGAAAACCTGAAAGTACTGAACGGCCGTTTCGTTTCAGCATAGGACTCCTCGGCAGTACTCACCCACGATCCCACACATAGGACTCAAACCTAGGACCTTCACTCCCACGCATTGACGTTTAACCTGCAGACATTGAGCCGGCATCCAACGGTGTTAATGTTTAACTTCAACCAATCCATATTTCATATTAATAATTAATAATTAAGTAGTATTGATTTGAAATTTTTCTTTAATACCTTACCTAGATAAATAATTCTAAATGATGATTAAATATGCACTCTTTGTAATAGTTCTAAAATTATGCACTTCATTATAACTGCACTATAAGCTTCCGAATAATATTTTGTTTAATTTGTAAATTAGTATGGGGACTTGTGAAGATTGTAGCATTTTTAACAGTTGAATTCATGAGTCAACCTAAACTGTAAATATTGTGAATTCAATTGTTCATTAATTACTTAAGAAAAATTTCATGACTTTCGTGATCATGAATCCATAATAAATAAATAATTATAATAGTTGAATTCATGAGTCGATTTAAGCTAGAACATTAGTTAAAACTGAGAAGCACTGGATGACCATTTCGTCCTGGGTTGGGACTCTTCAACATAGTGCATCTACTACAATCTCTACAAACAAATATTCTGATAATAATCACTATGTGCTCACTCGTGACTGGCTTTAAGATGAATTTCCTGACGTTTTAGTAAGAAACCGTCACTAGTGGAGTCCTATCCGTATCGAGTAAAGACATTTATCTACTTCAAATAATGAATGAATGATTGCTCAAGATCATGGATTGGTTAAGGCTGATCACCAACACCACTGGATGTCGGCTCAGTGGTCTAGAGATGAAACATTTGCGCACCAAACCGAAGGTCCTAGGTTCGAGTCCCGCGTACGGAATCGTAGATATGCACTGCTGATGAGTCCCCTACTATTGCGAAACGGCCGTCCGTTGTCCCCAAATTTTCAACAGTGATCTAACCTAGATCGATCCATGTATTTAGCTATTAAAGTTACTACAATCTCCACAATCCCTATTCTGAAAATAAATAACAACTGATAACTATAAATCATTTGATTGTCATAAATTATAACATGATTAATAAATATTCTCAGAAGGGGGTTTTGTGGAGATGTCAGTAATTTCAGTTGTTGAGTTCATGAGTCAATTGAAGCTAGACCACCATGGAAAACCTAGAAGCACTGAACGGCCGTTTCGTCCTATTGTGGGACTCCTCAGCAGTGCTCATCCAATATAGTTCAACTCGGTCAGTTGTGAAATAGTAACTCACTGATGACAATGGTGGATGTGTCACCCGATTGTGTGAATTAGTTGAAGTTAGATATTAACACCGTTAGATGCCGGCTCAGTGGTCTAGTGTTTAAGTGCTCGCGCGCGAGACCAGTAGGCCCTGAGTCCGAGTCCCGCGGGGTGGGATCGTGGATGCGCACTGCTGAGGAGTCCCACAATAAGACGAAACGACCGTTCAGTGCTTCGACGTTTTTCATGGTGGTCTAGCTTCAATTGACTCATGATCTCAACAATTGAAATTAATACATATTCACCAATGAATATTAACTTGATAGTTTCACTCATAAATTGATAATAATTATAACACTTGTTAAACTAAACAAGACTGAATAAAATAACTAATTAATTATATTTATTTTATTTTATTGTGTTAATCATAATCTCACATTAGATCGAATTGTGGATCTGAAAGATCTAAAAGTAATTACAATATCAATCATTTATTGATTGAATATTGAAATGTAAACAAATATACAGTTAAGCTAATAAATGATAATCATAGTCAAACTACTGAATTAATTAGCGTTCGAAATGCCTAGTTAATTAATGCTAATTACTGTTCATTTTTTGCATTGACATTTATTTAACATTGATTATATAATACATTATTAATTTTGATTTCATATTAATTAGTGACTGGTGAATAATTAAGTTTTCATTTACAATCTTGTTATATTCCCTGTGTCAATATATTGATCTTGTTCCATTGTAATCAATAGAAGTTAGTAGTTGTTCTGAAGTCATGGTAAATAGCCATTTCAATAGTGATTGTGGATGCGCACTACTGAGGAGTCCCATAATAGGACGAAACGGTCGTCCAGTGCTTCCAGGTTTTCAACAGTGGTCCAATATCAATCGGTTCATGATCTCAAACAATATTAATAGTTAGTATTTATTACAGTTGACAACTAAAGGGATTTTGCAATTCTAACTAGTTTTATCATAATAATAAGAACATACTTAAAGTTAATAATTAAAGTTTAAATAAACTATAAACAGTCACATTTCTTTCATTCAACATAGATGAGATATTCAGTTATGATGTAGTTAACAATGAGAATCTAATAGTTCATTTAGTGGACTGTTGGCAGATGACTTGTATATTCATAGATTTAATTCTTTTAAATTTTCTTTTGATTTTAAAGATAATCTCAATAAAATAATCTTTTACTTGAGGTCATTAATTGGTCTAATTTAAACTACTGATGAGTTATATAGTAGGACGAAATGATCGTCCAGTGCTTTCATATTTCCATTAGTTCTCTAAATTAGATCAATTTGTGATCTGAATAAAACTCAACAAATTCTATGACCCAATATTAAAAAGCAAGATTCTCCAATACAACACAGCATGCAACAACCGAATCACAATTGACGGAGAAGATTTGGAAGATGTAAAAACCTTCACATATCTGGGCAGCATCATTGATGAACACGATGGATCTGATGCAGATGTGAAGGCGCGGATCGGCATAGCAAGAGCAGTATATTTACAAATGAAAAACATCTGGAGCTCAAAACAACTGTCTGTCAACCAACATCAAGGTCAGAATTTTCAATACAAATGTCAAGACAGTTCTACTGTACGGGGCGGAAACCTGGAGAACTACGGAAGCCATCATCCAGAAGATACAAGTGTTTATTAACAGTTGTCTACGCAAAATACTTCGGATCCATTGGCCGGACACTATAAGCAACAACGTTCTGTGGGAGAGAACAAACCAGATCCCAGCGGAGGAAGAAATCAGGAAGAAGCGCTGGAAGTGGATAGGACACACATTTAGGAAATCACTCAACTGCGTCACAAGACAAGCCCTCACATGGAATCCTTAAGACCAAAGGAGGAAGAAGAGGAAGATTAAACAACACAATACGCCGGGAAATGGAGATAGACATGAGAAAAATGAACAAGAATTGGATGGAACTAGAAAAGAAGGCCCAGGACAGTGTATGTTGAAGAATGTTGGTCGGCGGCCTATGCTCCATTAGGAGTAACAGGCATAAGTAAGTACGTAATATTGAAAAGAAATTTTACATTATGTTAGACAAATAATAATAATTAAAATATCATTTTTCCCTGAATATACTAATGTAATCACTTACCGGTAAATTTGGTGTACTACTTACACGACGAATACCTTTACGATTGTTTTCAACTATTGAACGTGATTCTGACTTTTTCTGATCATTTGTTGATTTATGGAAATGTTCTTTTCTTCTTTTTAATTCAGCTGACTAAAAATAATATGAGTCAAATGAGAAATATGTATACACTTATGTTGAAAAGAGATAAATATAGTAGATGATGGAGAAGATTTGTAGCTAAGATGAATGATTTTGATAAAGTTTTGTTCTCTGAGTTCAATAATTTGATTATGGAGTACTTATTCTTAGTCTGAACGATATTACCTGAAGTTTATGTTGATAATGTCCTTCTGAATAACAATAAAAGTTCCACAACCAAACCATTCAGTTCGGAGAACAAAACTTCATCAAAAACAGATGAATATAGATACCATTATTAATGATTAATACTTCGTTATATTTCCAATGAACTTGATACATTATCACAGTTGGTTTAAACAATTTTCTCTGTTACTATTAGTAATTTAGTAGTGATAAATCAACTTATTATACATGAATGAAGTCTGTCATTAATTGAAGTATAGTCACTATTGAAAGGTTTTGTTTAAATTAACTCTAAAATCTCCACAAAACTCATTCTGATAATAGTCACCTGCTCACTAGTGACTGACTTTAGGAGATACTCCTGGAGTTCTAGTGAGAAGTAGTGACCAGTGGAATTCAAGCGGCTCAGTTGTCAGATAGTAACTCTCTGAAGACAATGGTGTACGGTGGCGCAACTTCGTGGATTACTTGAAGTTAGACATTAACACCGTTGGATGCCGGCTCAGTGGTCTAGTTGGTTAAGCGCCTGGCACGGGAGTTACAGGTCCTGGGTTCGAGTCTCGCGGGGGGGGGGGCAGGATCGTGGGTGCGCACTGCTAAGGAGTCCCATACTAGGACGAAACGGCCGTCTAGTGCTTCCAGGTTTTCCATGGTGGTCTAAGTTCAACTGACTAATGTTTTCAACCAATGAAATTTCTAAAATCTCCATAAAACCCATTCTGACTTATTAATACAAATTCATTTATAGGTTTATATTGTACATATTGTACATCTTTGATTTTCTTTCTGGGTAAAACGAATTGTGACATGTTGAAGATGGGCATTGACATTCAAATGGGATGTTTCACACGAATCGCATCGTTATTATTTTGAAATATGTGCGACCTGCTTGAATATCTTCGCTACCTATTCCTGCCACCTAGATATTTCAACACGTTTTTTGTTTCCTTGTTTGTTTTAGCAGATCATTATGTTAATTCATTGCATAACTTATTCAGGTGAGTTTGTGAAAAGTTTTGACGACATTTTACTGTACAAGTTATAAAAGAGCCCAATCAGAGGCATCTTGGCAGCTGGCACTATTCATCAAAAGGAATAATATATTATTCAGATGTTGATTGACTGAACTGTTAACATGTAAACTGGCGATCACTCAATATTTATTGTCAATATCCATCAAGAAATAAAAAAAGGAAACTCAATAATAATAATAAGACAATGTTGTAAATGAAGTTGATATTGCAAAGATTTTGCATAATTTGTGAGTAATTTTTAGTGTAAAGATAAATTTACTGGAGAACTATGATGACCAAAAAGGCATTAGACAGTTGTTTTGGTTAACTTTAGGACTCATCACTAAAGTGTAATTCTTTACTGGTTCCATCTCAGTAACTTGACCCCATCGTTCTTATCACATAATCTAAAGATTTTAGATTTAATTCTGTTTCGGTTATAGAATGAACACTAAGGACTAGTTATAGAATAGAATAAAAGATATCTAGTTTTACTCGGCTTTTACCTGCTTTTTAACCGATATAACTTAATGATGAAGATGATCATTATCAAGTTCATTTATTTCTTTGGACGGCCGTTTCGTCATAGTATAGGACTCTTCAGCAGTGAGTATTCATGATCCCGCCCCACGGGATTCGAACCAAGGATTCCCACAATAGGACTAAATGGCCGTCCAATGGTTTGAGGTCTAGCTTTGATTGGCTCATGAACTTAATCATTAAATTGTTATAGTATCCACAAAACCTCTTTCTAATATTAAACAGAATAATTTCGTCTCATCACAAAAATACAATTTTAAATTGTATAATCTGTATTTTCAACCACAAATTTCAGCCCTAAACATCAATCAGAAGATTTTTATAAATAATACTAGGTGAATTAAAACTTCACCCTATTGCAAAAGCATGTAACTACTAGGGATCAGTAGCTAAGTGGATAACATGATAGCTTTTGAAGCGAACTGTATTGAGTTCGAGTCCCAAAGTAAACATGAGTTCTGAGATGTAGTTACGTCTAGCTTATGAGTCCCAAATTGGATGAAACGCCTGTTTTTTCAAGTTTCTGCATGACTAAAACTTGATACTTCCTTCTCTCGCTCTCTCTCTCTCTCTTAATAATACTTTCGATCATATGATATATATGAGAATTGATTATTTCGCAGAGACTATAATTTTTGGACGACCTTTAAGTGACTTTGAAGTGACCTTGAGAATGTTCACCTACTTGCTAAGTGAGAGTTATAAACTTGCGTGACGAATAAGGATTATGATTTACAATTGGATGGTTAGGGTTAAGAATTAGATCTAAGAGTATTCATCATGAACTGACATTAACAAAAATCCTAAAACTCTCTCTTAAACGCAATGGATGAATAAATTTCGCGCTAAATTCCAAAACATGTTATCTTATATCTTATTGATTCGTTCATACATTATAGTCCCAATCATTATTTCTAATGTAATAATACTAACTTACTTCAATATATTGTTGTGTAGATTGTATTACATTTGATTTAATATAACTAGTTTGATAATGTTCTGTATAATTATAAATTGGTTTAGATTCATTAAATTCACGATAGAAATCATCATTCACATCATCATCATCACCGTCATCATCATCACCGTCATGATTGTGATCATCATTGTGATCCCTTGTATAATAAGTGAATGGATCATTAGATTTATGAAATGATTTCAATGGTATATTCATTGATTTCAATGATAATTCTGGTGTTTGAATTTGTGTATAACGATTAAATGGAACTTGATTTGATTTTGTAAAACAAACATATTCATCATCATTATTATTCTTATTCTTATGAATTTTGAATGGATTATTGAAATATTGTGAATCATGATGATGATGTCGTAATCGACGATATACAATATAAATAAGTAATAATAATATTATAATAATACATAATACACTTAATAAAATAATCAATAAATTATTTGTTAAATGAAACATTTCAAATTCGATTTCATTATTTTGTAAATAGTTACTATGATTATTATTAGTCTCCTTAGTAACATTAGTTTCTAGAAGGTGATTCCTTCTAGTAGACATTGTATTTTGATTAGATATATTCACTTGTCTAGATCTAATTTCAATGATAATCAACTAATTAATAATCAAACAAGTTTTACCGATAGGATTTAATACAGATTATTAATTATTATTATTATTATGAGTATTGTTACACAATGATTATGATTTTGTAAGAATAGTGTAATCCTAATTACATTATGAATAATAATAAGTTTATTATGTATAGATAATGATCAATTGATTGATTGATGAGTACGTAATTTTTTTCTATTGAATGTTTTATTTAATTCAATAGGAGTTATATTCATTATCGATTTAGTTGAACCTGTTTTGTGCGTGCGCATGTGTGCATGTGTGTGTGTTATTGATTGATTTTCACTAGAATTACGATTAATTACACGAAAAGTAATTATTGCACGAGAAAAATGAAGATAAACTAATATTACATGGGTATAGATGTATCATCATCATCATCATCATCATCATCATCATCATCATCATCATCATCATCATCATCATCATCATCATCATCATCATCATCATCATCATCATCATCATCATCATCATCATCATCATCATCATCATCATCATCATCATCATCATCATCATCATCATCATCATCATCATCATCATCATCATCATCATCATCATCATCATCATCATCATCATCATCATCATCATCATCATCATCATCATCATCATCATCATCATCATCATCATCATCATCATCATCATCATCAATCATCATCATCATCATCATCATCATCATCATCATCATCATCATCATCATCATCATCATCATCATCATCATCATCATCATCATCATCATCATCATCATCATCATCATCATCATCATCATCATCATCATCATCATCATCATCATCATCATCATCATCATCATCATCATCATCATCATCATCATCATCATCATCATCATCATCATCATCATCATCATCATCATCATCATCATCATCATCATCATCATCATCATCATCATCATCATCATCATCATCATCATCATCATCATCATCATCATCATCATCATCATCATCATCATCATCATCATCATCATCATCATCATCATCATCATCATCATCATCATCATCATCATCATCATCATCATCATCATCATCATCATCATCATCATCATCATCATCATCATCATCATCATCATCATCATCATCATCATCATCATCATCATCATCATCATCATCATCATCATCATCATCATCATCATCATCATCATCATCATCATCATCATCATCATCATCATCATCATCATCATCATCATCATCATCATCATCATCATCATCATCATCATCATCATCATCATCATCATCATCATCATCATCATCATCATCATCATCATCATCATCATCATCATCATCATCATCATCATCATCATCATCATCATCATCATCATCATCATCATCATCATCATCATCATCATCATCATCATCATCATCATCATCAGCACAACAAGATGAACACTGGATTCATAGAACTAGTTGATTCAATCGTGGTAATATATGAAAGAAAGATTGCATATAAGGATATAGTGCAAGAAGAAAGAATTAGTTCGTAGGAAGAAAGAAATAAAGCAATTTTAATCTCATAGTTTAAGGGAAGATAGATAGTGTATACACCTACGCCATTGTGATCGATTCTGAGTTATATCACCCAGAGTCTCTAACCATTGGTTAGGAGTAAGGATTAAGTAAGTAAGTAATAGATATATCATTAATTTTTTATCACATAGGTGTTTCCTGAATGACTGGATATCAAATCTATTGAGTAGTGATAAGAAATCAATTATTTTGTGAACTGTATTCTTTACATGTTGATATCCGTTGAAATAGAATTGGAAACGAGAGGAGATTGAACAATTATTTCTTTTTTGTATGGTATTTACTAGCAGTCTATATTCATGACTCCACTTAGGATCAAGCTCAGGAAATTCATGTCCATCAGTAAATGCTTGGTCACTAAAACCAATTTGTCGGAGCTTTAAGGTACAAGAGCTTACTGATATTTATAAAATTAGCTTCGATAAGGTAAAAAATAGACATTTTCATTTTGTATCAAGTTTAACAATAAATGTATTTTGAGGAGTCCCATACTGGAACGAAACGACCATTCACTGCTTCCAGGCTTTCAACAATGATCTAGCTTGGATTGATTCATGATTTTAATAAAAGTAAGTATCTAGTAAGAGCATGCTTTTCCAATTGTTGCAATACACACATATATTTTCAATTGGCGCATCTGTGAATGCTCAGAAACTGTAGCTCACTGAATGAAATCTATCACTTAATTTTGTTTTATCTTATAGATTCAGAGTTATCAAAACTGATTAATTGTAATGTAGACAAATGGGTCAGCGTAGTTTTTACGAATTCACAGACTGACAACAAATACGACTGCTATTCTACAAAATTCAACGTCATACTGAGTCGTATTGTAGTGAAGGAGAACACAGGTGAGGATAACCGAATTAAATTTAGCACTAACTTACAGAGTTACTTGGTAAAATAGAAAAACTTTACTATAATACTTAATTTGCAAAATGTTCAATAATTGTCTCGAACTTCGTTGTTCTTGGCGGCCTGCCTGAATATCTGGGCTACCTGTTCCTCCGATCTAGATATGTCTTCATGTTATCTGTTTTGTTGTTTGTTTTAGCACTTCATTATGTCTATTGTGCTCACAATCTTTTCAGACGCGTTTATGAAATGTTTACAACCTATACGGGATACAAAAAGGTACAATCAGCGACATTATGGTGGCTGGCAATATGCATTGAAACGAATGAACATTAATCAAATGTGGATTACCGAACTCCTAACATCTAACTGGTCATCATTCAAAATTGATCGTCACAATCGATCAAGATAAAAGAAAAGGAAACTAGTTGAAATACTTTATGCTGAGAATTCTATGTTGTACCAAAAATATAATGTTGAATAAAGCTTCTAATACTAAAAAAATTGCTTCCGATTCCCGCTCTTCCTTTCTTGATCTTCCCCATCTTCTGCTGCCAGACATTACATTCCTGACTCATGTCATATACTACTTATATCAATATAAGTAGCACGCACCACAGTATGAATAGCATGCCCTGTGGTTGTATTTCACGAAGATACATATAAAATAATGTTCGATTAAGTAGACTGAAGACAAAACAAATTTTGGGTAATATTTGTGTGAACTTATATTTCGATTTAGGTGGGAGGTGATTATTTATACTGTGGTGTGTACTACTGATATTGATAAATATAAGTAGTGTGTGTCATCAATCGAAAGTGAAATGTATATCAGTAGCAGGTTAAAAAGATCGAAGGAAAGAGAACAGAAAGTGATTGATATGGAAACGAAGGAACAGTCAAGTCTGAGACAAATGACTGACATTTTGCAAATGAAGAATTTACTGTATGGTACTCATTGTGTAACTTCGTGTTCAAATATATTTGGTTGTTTCAAACTGAGTCCTCGTCCACTACATACCCTAACTTGTAACTAACAAGAAATCAGCTGTCCATTTTATATGACTATCAAATGCTATTCCATTACTAATATGTTCGATAGTAGTGTTTTAGTTTATCAGAGAGCTGATCTCATTTATGAAGTCTAAATCTGTGTTCTCTTGTATCCTAGCGAAAGAAGTTACCGCTTAACTATTCAAATTCTATTCGGTAAACAATATCATCTTCAATGATGTAGGTATGTTTTGTTGATTAGTGTTTACTTGCATGAAACATACGTCTATCTATCTGATATGATGATGAAGTATTTCATCTAAAAAAGGAATCAAATTATGTGATGCAACCTGTTAAATAACCAGATAATGATAACTGTCAAACTCTTAGTTTCATTTCTCACATTTTTTAAAATTTATTTTGATATTTTTAGGAACATTTTCTTTAGGGAATAAATTCCTAGTAAAACTGTGTGAACGTATTTATTTTAATATTCAAGTAGAGATCGAGAGTGACTAGCAGTGAGATCCATTTCGTAGGTTCCTTCCTATTTGAGCTGGATGTACCTGTATCTTATTGTATATGAATAGGCTAATGGCTGCATGGAATCAGTAGCTCGGTGGATAACGTGTTGTGTATTGGAAGGAAAAAGTACTGGGTCTAAGTCTCGGTGTGAAGATCAACATTGGAATGTGCCATGTACATCCAGCTGACAAGTCCTAAATATAACGAAACAAGTATCCTAAATAACACTACTGACCACATACTATCTATTCACTATTAAGCTTGTAATTAGGTGGATGTATTGAGGCAACTAGATGACGATTCATATGTACCAAAAGAGACTGATCAAATTTCAGTCCTCAATATCAGCAATGACAATATTCAAGCACTTACGAATAAACAAACTTTTTCTAAAGTTTCCTAACGGTGATCAACCCTTTTACATCAGTTTCAGGTCAAGTTAATCACCATTAACCTTCATATACATTTTTGATTAAGCATTATATAGTTCCATTAGTTTAATTAAATATTCAACCAGCTGTCAAAGGATTCTATCTTCTGAAAGATATTGAAAAATAGGTTTACTGAGCACAATTATTAGTCTGATTATCTGCCAAAAAGACATCAAATTAACTACATTTAATTCACTTGGTATTATTTTACTTGAATCTTCCCATTGATGTTTTAGGACTGAAATTGATCAGTCTGTTATTGGCATATGTGCATACTGTGCGTATGCCTCGATATTGCCTTAATTTACAAACATTATAAGCAAAGATGGATAGTGGCTAGCAGTGGAATCCAGTTTGACGCGCGTTTCGTCCTGTTTGTGACTCCTCAACTGGATGTACCTACATCTCAGACTTGATGTTCACTCTGGAACTCGAACTCAGTACCGTTCACTTCAAACGCCATCGCGTTATCCACTTAGCTACTGATTGCTGATAGCCACTTGCTTGTGCAATGGGGTGAAGTTTAATTCACTCGGTATTGTTTTACTTGAATCTTCCCATTGATCTGCATGTTTATGGTTCGGAAATACGGTCGTTTAAAGAATTACTTGTCCTCATCTCTAAACTAGACATTTACAGATCTTTTTTCTATTCAGCGTCAAACACGATACAATAATCTCAAAGGAATTCAACAAACACACATTATTATCATCATCTACTAATGGGTCTCAGTATTATTGCACTATGTAAACGATTATTCCCACTAGTATTTACATAACCAAATAACAAAAAAGTCAAAGACTATTCAATAAACATATAGAGTAAGTGAATTTATTACTCATTTCAATGATTAGCATTCTCAAGGGAGATGAAATTACTTTTTTGTATTCCAATGTAAGTAGACTTGTAAACTAGGTAATAATAATAAATTATTATCATCATTAATAATCGTAATATTATTAAGAATAATGATAATAATGATAGGTAAGATGAGAAACATTGCAGTGAATAAACAATATTACTTTTAATGAATACATAGAGACATAGAGTGTGTGTGTGTGTGTGTGTGTGTGTAAGAAATAGAGACCAAGATAGTAGTCCTCCCACTTACAATACAATCATTTTTATATTATTCATTATGTAAAGAAAAGTACAGAGATTTTTTTTAAAAAAAAATGCAAAGAGATTTGAAATAGAAGACAAAACAAGGAAAAGTAAAAGAAAACGGTACCTTTATATGTATGTCACTAATTATTGTAATAAATGTATTAAGACCAGTTAGCAATTATAGATCATAGATATATTTTTTTTTAATTTTTCAAATCGATACTTAACCCATATGGTGCATAATTATTGATAAGAAGGTCTAGATAGACAAATAAAGAGATGGTATATATGATTACTTGGTTTCCTTTCCTTTTCTTTTTAGCGAGACTTAGTATCATGTTCAATATGAATGTAAGTGCTTATAGATAAATGTTCATATATATATATGTTTGTGTGTGTGTGTTTGTTTGTATGGAACTTGGTAGATTCTGTGCATTATCGTTGTTTATTTCCATAGACTAGAGCCAAAATGATAGGAACCAATGACGATTTGATGTCTCTTGTTTACATATATATATATATATATATATATATATATATATATATATATATATTTACTTATTTATTTATTTATATATATATGAGCAAACAATTAATAACACAAAACTACAAACAAAAATTGGTGTGTATATGTATGTTTGTACGAAACCAACGAAAAACCAACAAAAAGTGAATTTTCGATGAGCCTAAACACAATTGAATGATGTTGTTGTTTTTATTGCAAAGGGTAAAGGAGCTCATCTGAAACTGATGTTTTTTTTTAATATAAAAAAACACACTACCGCTGAATAATGTTCAAAACAACCTTCAACAATGATCTCAAATGTTGAAGGTGATACAAAGTAGGTGTATAGGTGAACTTAGGTGTAGGAAGGTAGGTAGGTAGGTAGGCAGGTAGGTAAGACAACAGGTGTATAGCCGAGGGAAAGGTAGGTATACATGATTGTGTATGTGTATCTATTACTATAATCTA